TGCTGCTGCTGCTGCTGCTGCTGTCGCAGGGTGAGGCCTTGCCGCTGCTGCGTTTGCTGCTGAACATCTCCTCCTCTGCAGGAGACAACAGAGGTGCCCAAGGGTCCCTTTCATCATCATCATCTTCTGCTGCTGCTGCTGCTGCAGTCGCTGCTGCTACTGCTGCTGGCTCTGCTGCTGCTGCTGCTGGTTCTGCTGCAGTTGTATCTGCTGCTGCTGCTGCTGCTGCTGTCTTCTTTCTTTGATCTGATGCTTCGCGCTTTGGGGATTTTGCTGCAGGTGTCGTTGCGCCTGCTGCAGCAGCAGCAACCCGCTCTGCTGCTGTTGCTGCTGCTGCTGCTGCTGCTGGTGCTGCTGCGTCATCAGCATCCTTGGGCCCGCTCATAGAACGTCGTGTTGCTGCTCCCGTTGCTGCCGCTGCTGCTGCTGCTGCTGCTTCCTTCTCCTTTAGTGCTGGTGCTGCTTCTGCTGCGGCTTTCGTTGGGGAGTCAGGTGCAGCAGCAGCAGCTGCAGCAGCAGCAGCAGCTGCTGCTGCTGCTGCTGCTGCTGCTGTAGAAGCATCATCTGTTCCTTCTGCAGCAGAAGTTGCTGCTGCTGTTTCTTCTGCCTTAGCTGCCTTTACCGCAGCAGCGTCTGTTGCTGCTGCTGCTGCTGCTGCTGCTGCTGCTGTTGCTGCTGCTTGTTCTGCTTCGTGCTTCGCTGTGTCTGCTGCTGCCGCTGGATGACCTTCTGCTGCTGACCCCTCAGCTGCTGCTGCTGCTTCGGTTGCTGCTGCTGCTGCCGCTGTTGTTGTTGTTGCTGCGCGTGCTGCTGCTGCTCGTTCAGCTGCTTCTGCTGCTGTTTCCGCTGTTGTTGCTGCTGCTGCTACATCCCCAGTTGTTTCCTCTGCTGCTGCTGCTGCTGTTGCTGTTGCTGCTGCTGCTGCTGCTGCTGTCTCTGCAGCAACCTGCTGCGACTCCCCCAAAGCTGAAGGTACTTTGTCTTCTTGAGGAGCAGCAGCTGCTGCAGCAGCAGCAGCTGCTGCAGCAGCAACTGCTGCTGTTGCCATCGCAGCAGCTGCTGCAGCTGCGGCATCAGACCCTGTCTCTGCGGTGGATGCTGCATCTGGAGCTGCTGCTGCTGCTGCTGCTGCTGCTGCTGTGTCAGCAGCAGCAGCAGCAACCGTGCCCTCCTCTGAAGCAGCAGCAACGGCTTCCTGCTTGCTTTCTTCCAGCTGCTGCTGCTGCTGCTGTTGCTGCTGCTGCTGTTGCTGCTGCTGCTGTTCTGCTGCTGCTGTCTGGTCGACCCACTCAGGGGCAGCACCCTCCTCCTCTGTAGCCTTCGCTTCCTCTGTGCTGCTGCTGCTGCTGCTGCTGCTGCTGCTGCTGCTGCTGCTGCTGGCTTCTGCAGCAGCAAGTGAAAGCAAATCTGCTGCTGCTGCTGCTTCGGTTGCTGCTGCTGCAGCGGCCGCCTCCTCTGGCGTCTCGCTTTTAAGGGCTGCTGGAATTGTATCTGTTGCTGCTGCTGCTGCTGCTGCTGCTGCTGCTGCTGCTGCAGCAAGATCCTCTCCCGCAGCAGCAACCTGTGCAGCAGCAACTTCTGCTGCAGCAGCATCTGAAGCAGCAGTACTGCCTTTCATTGTGTCAGGTGTATCGACAGCAGCAGCCGCTGCTGCTGCTGCAGCAGCTGCAGCAGCAGCAGCAGCAGCAGCAGCAGCACCTTGTGCCCTTCTCAGGCGTTTGCTGCTGGGGGCGACATCATCAGCAGCAGCAGATCTACGAAGGTTATGCTGCTGCTGCTGCTGCTGCTGCAGGAGCTGCTGCTGCTGTTCCTCATCTTCTTCCTGCTGCATATCTTGCTGCTGCTGCTCTTGCTGCTGCTGCTGNGCTGCTGCTGCACTGTGGGGTCCGCTAGACACACAGCCCCCAGCAGGTCTCGCATATCGAAGAGCTGACACACCTGGGTTGTTGCTGCAACGAGGAGGCGTTTCTGCTGCTGCAGCTGCTGCTGCAGCTGCAGCTGCTGCTCTTGTTGTATGAGTTTCTGTACACGTTCTTGCTGCTGCTGCTGCTGCTGCTGCTGCGTATACACCCCAGCAGCACATGCTTGCTGCTGCAGCGGCCTGTATGTTTTCAGCATCTTATAAGGTATCTGTCCCCTCAATACAGGGCACCACTGCTGCAGCTGCTGCGTGAGAGAAGCAGCAATCTGCTGCAGCTCCCGCGGCTGCAGCGCAGCAGCAGCAACAGAGAAAGCAGCAGCACTGTTGGGGTCCGTAGGAACAACCAGACAACGATTAGGACATTCAGCAGCAGCAGCAGCAGAAGCAGCAGCAGCAGCTGCTGCTGCTGCTGCAGCAGGGTCTTTCGTTTCCGTTTCTGCTGCAGGAACATCATCTGCTGCTGCTTCTTTCGCTGCTGCTGCTGCTGCTGCTTCTCCCCCTCCCCCTCCCCCCCCTGCTGCTGCTGCTGCTGCTGCTGCTGCTGCTGCTGGGGTGTTTGTCTCCTCCTCCCCCTCGCTGCTGCTGCAGGAGACAGACTCACAGGGCCAGTCATCTTCGTCAGCAGCAACACTCATTGTCTCCAGCCCCGGCCATCGTATAGAGTGGGCAAAGTCTAGATGCATGCATGCATCGTTGTTTCCTCCTGCTGCTGCTGCTGCTGCTGCTGCTNCTGCTGCTGCTGCTGCTGCTGCTGCTACTGCTGCTGTTGTTGCTGTTGTTGTTGATCGTGTACTCTGCTTACTCACACACAAACCATCCTGAGATTGCTGCTGCTGCATATCTATTTCGTAATAGCTGCTGCTGCTGCTGCCCGATCCAGCAGCACCTGCTGCTGCTGTGTCTTCTCCGCCACCGCCGCTGCTGCTGCTGCTGCTGCTGCTGCTGGCAGCAGCACGACGAGCACCCGAAGGAGCAGGCAACGTATCC